CTTGCGTCGAGGGTCGGCTCCGCCGTGCTCCTCACTCCTCCTCGCTGCGTCCTGCTACTGCCCCCCTTCAGACCCTGCACTTGGACGTTTGGGGCCCTGCCCCCGTCCCCGGACCGCGCGGTGAGCGCTACTTCCTTGTGCTCGTCGACGACTACACGCGCTACACCACGGTGTTTCCCCTGGAGCGGAAGGCCGACGTGCCCGACGTTCTTCTCCCGTGGGTTGTGGCTGCGCGTCTCCACCGCGGTCTCCCCGTGTTGTGTCTCCACTCCGACCGTGGCGGCGAGTTCGCCTCTGGTCGGCTTGGACAGTTCTGTCGTGCGGAGGGCATCACCCAGTCGTACACGTTGCCGGACTCGCCACAGCAGAATGGGGTTGCTGAGCGCCGCATCGGCTTGGTCATGGAGGTCGCCCGTACCTCCATGATCCATGCCGATGCCCCCCATTTTCTGTGGCCGTTCGCTGTTCGCTACGCGGCTCACCAGCTTAACCTGTGGCCACGCTCCCAGCGGCCGCAGGTTTCGCCGACCCTCCTTTGGACCGGGTCCCCCGGTGACGCGTCTGCGTTCCACGTCTGGGGCTGCCTTGCTCACGTTCGTGCCTCTGGCACGGACAAGCTCACTGCCCGCACTGTCCCCTGTGTCTTCCTCGGTTTCCCCCTGGACTCGTCTGACTGGCTTTTCTACCACCCGCCGTCTCACCGCTTCCTCCACTCTCGTGACGTCACCTTTGACGAGTCCGTCTCCTTCTACCGCCGTTTCCCTCACCGAGGTCTCCCAGTTGCCCCCCCCCTTTTCCTTGCTCCCTCTCCCCCGGTAGCCCCTGCCCCTCTCCCGCCTCGTCCTGCCCCGTCTGGTGTCTCCCACGTCACTCCCCTCCCGTCGGTTGTCCCCGTTGAGGAGTCTGCTGACTCTGGTGGTACCCCCGGTCCGTCCTTGCCGCGTCCCCCTTCCCCGGTGCCTCCGCCCCACTGTCGCAGTCGCCGACCCCGCTGCCGCCGCCGTCGCCGTCGCCGCCGCAGCCGTCGCCGCTGTCGTCGCCGCCGCCGCCGCTGTCGCTGCCGCAGCCTTCGCCGCTGTCGCCGCCGCCGCAGCCGTTGCCGCCACTGCCGCCGCTGCTCTCGGCCCCTGGGGGTGCTGGTGTGGAGGAGGGTGTTCGTCCTGCGGCTTCTGGGGGTGCCGCTGGTGTTGGAGGGGGTTCTCGCTCTGGGGGTGTTGGTTCTGGGGGTGCTGCTGTTGAGTGTTCTGCCGACGGTCGTTCTGCCTCTGCTGGTCCGAGAGTTCCGGCCCAGCCGTCGTCGCCGCCGCAGCAGCCGTCGCCGCCGGTTTCCGCTCTCCGCCTGCTCGGCCTTCCCTCCCCGGACCGCGCGCCGGTGTCTCCCCCACCGCCTCCTGACCTTCCTGTCTACGGTCGTGTGTTCCCGCCGCCAGACTCGTCTCCGGCCCGTCTTCCTCCTCATTCCCCTCCTGTGTCTCCTCCGCTGTCCCCTGACCCTACCCCTCCGTCTCACGTTTGGGCTCGCCGTCCCTCCCGTGCTCGTCCCGTCTCTCCTGTCCTGCCCACCCACCCTATGTTGCTCCGTTCCCACTCGTCTCGTCCTCCCCTCCTCCCGTCCCCTCCTCCCTCGTCCCTTGATGTTGCACCTCCTCCGTTCTCTGACTACCTCCGTGCTGCTCGTCCCCTTGTCCCTCGGGTCCTTGCCTCTCTTGTTACCGACCCTGCTGTTCCTGTCTCGCGCCTTGACGCGCTTGTCGCTGCTGTCGCTGACTTCGCTTCTACCCGCCGCCTTGACTACGCTACCGCTCTGGTCTCTGACCCTGCCCGTCCTCTGTCCGTCGGGGGTGCTCCTGCCCTTGGCAGTGACGTCCTAGAGGACAGGCAGTACGAGCTGGCTTTCCTTTCCGAGGCTGCTCCCCATCTCTGCTCCATGCTGTTAGTCCCTAAGGGTGACCCAGACGCCTTCGACATCCCGACCCCTCGCACCTACGCTGAGGCCACCTCGGGACCTTGGGCCTCTCAGTGGATAGCTGCCATGGAGCACGAGATGGCATCTTGGAGATCCACCGGCACTTACGTCGACGCAGTTCCCCCGCCTGGGGTGAACGTAGTCGATGGTCGGTGGCTCTTCAAGGTGAAGCGCCCCCCTGGAGAGCCGCCTGTCTTCAAGGCGCGCTACGTGGCCAGAGGTTTCAGTCAGCGCGAGGGGGTTGACTTCTTCCAGACCTTCGCCCCGACCCCGAAGATGACCACTCTTCGGGCGCTGCTACACGTAGCAGCACAGCGTGACTACGAGCTTCACTCCCTCGACTTCTCTACTGCCTTTCTTCAGGGCAGCCTACACGAGCAGGTCTACCTGCGCCGACCACAGGGCTTCACTGGTACCTTCCCTCCTGACCCAGTGGCTTCTCAGGCGCCCGGTCTACGGCCTGCGTCAGGCTCCCCGCGAGTGGCACGACACGCTACGTGCCACGTTAGCAGACCTGCAGTTTTTTCCGTCCTCTGCTGACCCTTCACTGTTTGTGCGTTCCGGCCAGACTCCGTTCTACATCCTTGTCTACGTAGACGACCTGGTCTTCGCTACTCCTGACAGGGACGCACTGGCCTCTGTGAAGGCTGAGCTGCTGAAGAGACACACCTGCACTGACCTTGGAGAGCTGCGTCACTATCTTGGCCTGCAGATCTCTTGGGACAGAGCAGCACGCACCATCACTCTGACCCAGTCACACTTGGTGCGTCAGGTCCTTCAGAGGTTCGGTCTTCAGTTCTCCTCCGCACAGCCCACACCTCTACCCGTAGACCATGGGCTCTCTGCTCCCGTTCCTGAGGAGCCAGTAGAGCCCAGTGGCCCCTACGCAGAGCTGGTGGGTTGCCTCATGTACCTGATGACTTGCACTCGCCCAGATCTCGCATACCCTCTCAGCATCCTGGCTCGCTTTGTGGCTACAGGCAGACACCGACCTCAGCACTGGTCTGCCGCTAAGAGGGTTTTGCGTTATCTTGCTAGTACATCAGGCATGGGGTTAGTGCTAGGAGGACGCAGGCCAGTGGTCCTTACTGGGCACACAGACGCTTCTTGGGCAGACGACGCTGAGACGCTCAGGTCGTCGCAGGGCTACTGTTTCAGCCTTGGTTCGGGTGCTATCTCTTGGAGATCCACTCGCTCGTCGTCTGTGGCTCAGTCTAGCTGTGAGGCTGAGATCTACGCTGGTGCCATGGCGGCACAGGAGCTCCGCTGGCTGACCTTCTTGCTCACAGACTTAGGTGAGCGGCCTAGCTCTGCCCCGGTCCTGTACGCTGACAACAGGGCCATGATACTCCTGTGTCAGGAGCCTCGGCTTGAGGGCAGAGCGAAGCATATCCAGCTGCGGTACTTCCTCCTGCGCGAGCTACAGCAGCGCCGCCAGGCCCGCGTAGTTCACTTGGCCTCAGGTGCCAACACAGCTGATATCTTTACTAAGGCGCTTGCGCCTAAAGATCATCAGCGGCACTGTGTACAGCTTGGTCTTGTTCCTGTAGCTGCTCCCCTGTTAGGATCCTGATTGTGTACTCTCTATTATATATGCTTGTCAGACTGGCCTTGTGGCCTTACCTCCAGTGGCTGGACTAGTAGTGCCACCCTGGCTTGCTTTAGTTTTGGTTGTATTCTTGCTGACTGGTCTCCAGACCCCTGCCTCAGTGGTTGGACTAGTAGTGCCGCCCTGAGCTGTTTGCTTCTTGTTTAGTTTCACCCCTTGTCTAGCCTAGGGGGTGTGTCAACTTATACATATTATCTATGTAGAAGTTATAGGCTAGACTGAGGTATGCTTCTAGTGAGTACAACCAACTAGTATTTGTTCTAGGTTTCCACCTCTAGTAATCATTCGTTTCTACGTTAACATGAAATAAAGTGGTGTAACATGCATTGTTCAAATTATATAAGTTATAATTTAATATAGGCTTGGTAGGTTGTTACTGAACCTTTCTGGAGGGGGTACAAACCCCTCCTTGTACTCCTCTCTCTTCCTAATCCAACTCCTTTCTCTCTCGACACTCTCGTCCAGCTCCTAGCTAAACCCCGCCGCCACATTCATGGCGGCCTTGTTCCTGCCTAGTATCCTAGCCTAGAGCTACTTTAGCATGCAAAACTATTTTGGAATTGAAAAACGCATATGCACGTTCCATAGAACCATGGTCTTATATTTTTTTTGGCCTTTAATTCCACCCACCCCAAAATTTTCATGAATTTTTATTAGCTCCCTAGGGTGCTATATCCGGGAGAATACGATAATATGAAATTGCATGAATTCTTGATATTTTATCCTGATAATTTGCGTTTATTTTGCCTGTTTCTGCCTAAAATCTTATGGGTCCTTATATTTTGGGGATGATAATAGCATAAGATGAGTATTCCATGCAATTAATGGGTGTTAATTTTATATGTAGCACATATAATCTGATATATTCTGCTTGTGAACGTTTTGGTTAGTAGATGTTAACGAAACCGTCTGTTCGCGGGAGTTCCAGGTTGAAGCTTGTTCTGCACTGCACTGTTGTGGTGGACTTAGTTTCTGGGTAATGACGACTTTCAGGTGGCTTTTTTCTCAGGTGAAACCAGCAAAACGATTTGTTGCGTTGTGTAAGCACCTTGAAAACCAACAAAACCAGCTTCCGTCTTGTTGTCAACTTCAACAACAAACAAATCGTGTCCTTTTGTGTGTGGGGTATGACTTTACGACAGAAGTACCCGCCTCAAGGCCCTGCCTGCGGAAACAGCTGGCCAGCATTGTAGCCAATGCCATGGTCAACACGGGATCTGCGAATTCCTCGCTGGAGCAGCTGTTGTTCGCAATGTTCGCAAACCTCGGCCCCACCTCCACCTTCTGCAACTTTACGTTTCGCTCGCTTTCGCCGTTCGCCAGCCCTTCATCCAGCTTTCCCCACACAGCTCTCCTCACCACCCCTCCCCTCCCCACACCACACTCGTGTTTGTCTCCATCCACACCACTGCCCCATCAACCCCCTCACCTCATCCCTTTCGTCCCCTCCTTTCCATTCTTGCTTCCCAAGGTGTCCTGGTTAGTCGTGACTTCTACCCAGCGTTGTTCAACAGATCAACAGGCTCCTGCCTAATCTTTGTTATTGCAATTAACGCTCCGACGCTCACTTGTAGCCAGTATATTCTTAGGTCATCGCCTCCGTCTTCGGTTCGCACATTAATCCGGCGCACCCTACCCCGCCAAGATGGTTTACTCCCTCATAGAGGTCATCGTTATGACCATTTTATGCGTCGTGCCAGTCGTCATGGGTCTTATCCTTGTCGCTGCAGCCGTCTTCCAAAAAACGGGCACCAGCGACGTGCAATCGTGGCCGTCCAGTAGTGAAGGGGATGAAGCAGATCCGTACGAGAAGATGCAAGCTGAGCACATGGATGACATGGATAACGAGGAGGCTGATATCGAAGATCTGGAGCACGGCGAGGAGGGCCTTACTCGGCCAGCATATTCCGACCCGTCAGAATATAACGACCGCGCCTCAGACTACACATACGATTATTAATCTCTTATTTTGCGCCGCGTAGAAGATGCCCTAGGTATGTCACTTGTAGTGATCAGTGCGTACAGGTGCTTCGAGTGATTCAGTGTTCCCAAATTATCCCCATCATTTCATTATATCGATTTTCAACTCAGCGAAGTCTTCCTCCATCCTCTCTCTGCGCCATGCATCCCTCCTTTTTCCTCCACGAATGCATCAATATTCGATCGCCCTAAACCTATCCCGTCCGCTTTTTTCGTCCACCGTCACAGATGCGCTATTGAAGTCCGCCGTGACTATCTCCCCTTCCCATGGCCGTCCATGGTC